AGAGGGACTTGCATTTATTAGGGTTTAGTGTCATTTGCCAACGATTGCACCAGTTAAGCACATGGTTAATGTCATCTTGTAATGCAACTTGGGCTGATGTGTGAGTAATAGTACGGTATATAACGCAATCGTCTGCAAACATACGAATATTGCTGGATACATGAAAAGGTAGATCGTTAATGTATATTAGGAATAATAGGGGTCCAAAAACAGATCCTTGCGGGACACCTGATGTTACTGCCAGAGGGTAAGAGTTATGTCCATTAACGGTTACGAATTGGTAATGATTAGTCAAAAATTCTCGAATCCAAGTTAAAATTTTAGTGTCTAAGTTTAATTTCGAAAGTTTTAACATCAGGCGGTTGTGGGGTACTTTGTCAAATGCCTTTGCAAAGTCACGAAAGATAGTGTCAGTCTGTATGTTATTGTCCAGGTTAGTGTACAGATCATGAACGAAAAGGACAAGTTGGGTTTCACAGGAAAAATTTTTTCGAAATCCATGCTGTGCGGAATGAAAAAAGTTATTAGAGTCCAAGAAGTGCATGATTTCGGTGTAAATGACGTGGAACCTCCACGTCGTGAATGCGAGGCGTTAACCACTGAGCCATCGAAGGACACCTCCTTCAATGTTCAAATGGCAAGCTACCACTTATCACTGTTGGTAGGCATCTTTGGAGGGGGGGACTACTATAGTATTTTCGGCATTATCAGCAAGATAGCGCAAGGAGCATGCGATGGCTTTTCACTCATGCATCCTTTGGCCCGTTTATTTGTGCGTCAGAAACGCGGGGCACGTTTCGATCTGCTTGCCATTCTACGCGTGACCTTCCAATTTCTTGCTATTGTGTTCATTGCTACGCCTTTGTGGCAAAGCTGACTTTTTAAATGCTGCTTTTGGTTTTTGTTTATTTACGAACAGCTCTGAAGCCTTGGCCTGTCACATTCTTGTTCAGTAAAATATTTCGGTAGACGGTAATCTGGTTACTCATCTCCTAATGGATCACTCAAAAGTGGGCTAAGTTGTGACATATATTTGTTTTTGCCACACTGCAGGCTTGGTGTTGAAGTTAATCCCCCCCCCCCCCCCCTCCATCATTTGTTTGCATTTCATTTGCAACTCAACATTCAGCTTTGAACAATTCTAAGTTCCGTGCCATTTACTGGTCAGGCAACTATTTCATGCTCTGGTCTATTGTGTGTGCAATTTAGTGAATGTGAATAAATAGTGGAATATGCGAGTAGTTACCAAAAATAACTGGTGAAAGGGAGGTTGCACTTTTCTGCCAAGCTTATCTGGCACCGTAATTCTGCAGCGTTCCTTGTTGGTGTAGATGGTGAAACATATCTAGTTGCTGTTAGGAAAAGGGTGTAGACACTGACACTCAGAACAAACAAGATTGATTGCATGTCCTCTGGCATCAATTTACCCCTCTCCTGTAAAGCTTCTTCTCCTTAATTCATCTTCCATCAATTAAATTGTTCCACTACATCAAAACCTTGGTCTATGCTGGTGGATCAGCATTCTATTTTAAGGTTATGGCACAAGACGATAAGCACGAAAAAAATCAAAAGGACTGAAATTACAGTCAAATAAAATTAACAAAATTGAATTGAATTGATTTTATTTCTTCTGTTTATAACAGACAGGAAGCAGAAGCTAAAGGCCACGTGGCCTGACAAAGGCTTCTGCTCCTACGACACTCACAAAATGTCACTAACAAGCGGTTGCAAGGGATACAACATTTTTTTTTTTTGCCTCTCCACTTTGCCACAGCTGTTTCTTTACTAACCACTAAGTAGCTTTACTGAGTAAGTATGTAGTAGCAAACGTTTACTGAACAAGATTTGCAAAAAAGCTGAATTTCAATTTAGCCTGGGAGCATTGCCACTAATAAAATGTTTTAGCCAGTATTAGCTTTTGCACAATACAAAATGTTTCTGTGTGTCTTTTTTTTGCAAAATACAGATCTTTTATAAAAATCTTATGATGTGTGATAGTAAGGCTCCTGTTTTTTTTACACTTAAGCGCTGATTCTGAATGAAGTCTGAATGATTTGAGTAGATTAACTGATATTTTCAGAAATGGAAAGAAGGTGCAGTTAGCATCAAATAAGGACATCTATTTGATGCTGGTAACAGGGGCATGCGATGTGACATCAAGGTGACATAGTACATGGCAACTTGTGATGGAGCATAATTTAAATATGGAGGCCACATATAAACATGGCAACTTGTGATGGAGCATAAATTCAATATGGAGGCCACATATGAACATGGCAAATAAGACGAGCAGGGTGGCCAGCAATAGTGGTTCAGGCAGTGTACATCCCAAGAACTGTGGGCATTCATGTGTTGGCCGTACAAACAAACTGGTGCATGAGCAAGTGTATTTACCTTTGAGACTCAATCATGAAGTTCAACCCTCATCAAAGAAATCCAAGCATTGGTGTTCAACGCAAGAATGGCCACGTCACCGAGTCAGCAGCCCTGCATCACTTCTGAAGGTGCATTAGTCGTCTCCTTTGTGTCCATTTGTGGTCATAATTTTCTGGTGGAAACATTTGGATGGCAAGGTTAAGTAGGAAGGCAGCAAATGACTAGCGACCTCTCAGTAACGAGGAATAGCCATCCCGGCTCCAACGGCCACATTTCAATAGAAGTGAAACGCTTGAGGCCCATGCGCTGTCGGTTCGTGTTAAAGAACACCAAATGGTCTAAATGTCCAGAGCCCTCCACTACAGTGTGCCTCATAATTGAATTGTGATTTCGTCATGTAAAACCCCAGATAGCATTACAGTGCAGTCCACGTATGACGATGTCCAAGTGACAAGGAAATCTCATCATTGTTATCAATAATTGTCATAAGTGGGCTGACAAAAAGAAATGAAAGACAAAAGAGAGATAAAGTTCATTTACATGCAAGTAAAGTAGTGCAACTTTGTACTACTCGTTTGAAGAAAGCGCATAGTCTGTCAGCTCTGATTGCTTGACACAGAGCTGGCTGACATCTGTCTCGCAAGCATGTAGGTGCTCCACGTAGCTAAGCGGGAAGTCCTTCTCAAAAACAAGGTCCTGTAGGAACTGTATCATCTGCTAGACCTCCTGCAATGACAATGCCTGGGTGGTCTACTCAACCACATTGTCGGAGTCGTTACTCTCACCACTATCCACAGCACAACGTGGTCGGTGCCAAGACCTCTTTGCGGTGCGCGCTATAGCCAGATTCAATTACTATATCCAATACCACGGTATTGGAGCCTCGTAATAAACAGTTTATTTTACCATAGAAAGCACACAAACGTGGATGGTGCCACCGTTCATCATTATGTCTGATATGTTATAATAAACAGTATCGGTGAGCGGACTTGACTGTGTTATTATTAGCTGGAACATGTAGTATTGACTTTATTCATGTCACATCTTGCCAACGCTGAAGGCTGGTATCAAATGTTGTTAAAACATGTCCACAGAGTGCCCTGCCGAGGTGGTCTAGTGGTTAAGGCTACTTACCCACAAGTCACATTATCGAGTCCCAGGTACAGCGGCTGCATTTTCGATGGAGGCCAAAATGCTGCAAGCCCGTGTTCTCAAATTTGGGTGCACATTAAAGAACCCCAGGTGGTCAAAATTTCTGGAGCTCTCCTGTACGGCGTCTCTCATAATCATGTGTGGTTTTGGGATGATGAACCCCACATATCAATGTACACAGAGTGCCTTGTGCTCTTTGCCTATCTCTCCCCTTTTTTCTCTTTTCATTCGTACATTACTATAACTACAAAATTCTCATTTGGCACTGTCTCTTTCTCAGGTGCCCCCTCCTCTATGAACATGCCTTCTCTTCTCCTCCACTTTGAACTCTTGGGAGGTTGAGCAAAGTTCTCATGAACATGCTGCTAGCAAATCCACTGGTCGAAACTTTTGCTCCAGTGACATTCCTCTGTTCGATTTTTCATCATTTCGAACCAGCATCTTCCCCTGAACTTCTGCCTTTTTATGATGACTTTTAGTATTTCACTGAACTCCTTTTATGAACTCAACATTCTGCCCACATTTGATGATGAATTATGCTTTGTTTTACTGGTGCATGTTGGTCATTGCCAACATGCAGAAGATTCAATAATCTTTGATTTCTCTGACGTGATTCTTAGACTGTACATTCAAGGGTGAACAGCATTACATACGTCAAATGATGCTAAAAGGAGTGTTCTTATTTTAACAGACTATCATTTCATTTAGAACAGAAAAGTATACCATGTTCAACTCAATATGAGAATGTGGTTTTCATTAATATTTGTGTGCAAATTCGGAATGTTGTAATCGGACTTCCGCTAATTTTGCCTACTGTTCTTGTAAAATGTAGGATAGATGCACCCAACACAATGCAATACTATACGTACAGGTACGTTCTGAATCTGTATGGTGGGTAATTGCATCAGCACTAAAGAAAAATCTTTCCAACATTTTGTATGAAGATGAGTTCCCAAGGCCTAGAAGTTAAAAGTTTTCTGCTAAATTTTTTAAAAAGTGTTAAAACTGCTTCTAGTTACCAAGCAATGCCGTTACAATATAAAAGCTCCCAATATTTGCTGCAGGGAGGACACACAATTTTATTCAAAAAGTTTTAAGCTGGTAAAATCCTAGCCACATTTCTCGCATATATTTTTCAACACGTTTAAACACGATCGTCATTATTTCTTAAGATGCCACAACTAAGCAGTGCAATTTAGAATAAGCGATGGTGGAGAAATCTTGTCAATGGTAGTGCAATAGTAACATCTTGCATAAATGATATCGCATCAGAGATGAGGTGGAATACGTATGTTCATAGTAGACAGCTGGGATACGAATAAAAAAAATAAATTGATTGCTTAACTGCTTACATCAAAAGCATAGCACAAACTTTCTGTAGGAGCAAATTCATAAGACAGTGTCCTTTTAATATTATGCTTAAGAAGTGTTGCCCATGAATTTCAGAAATGTACTGAAGCATACAACTGAGCTAACATTCGTATCACTTTATTTTATTCACTACTAAATACAAACTTCATCAAGTACAAAAGGCATTTCAGACAACCATTTACTCACACTTTCAACACTGGTTGCATCTTGCATACTAAGTGCTGCCAGTTTGCCAGAGCCAGATTAAGTTGGCTCATTGTTTCATCGTCTTTCTATAGTTGTGATGACTACGAAAGAGTTCACACTGGCATCATTGACTGGAAGCAAGCTGCGGGAAACCAGTGTCGTACAAAAATATGTCACATGTTGCAACAAGGAATCTCATTTGTGCATTGTCATACAGCTCAGGTTTACACAGAAATTCCACGTCTTCATTGCAGTTCGTAAGGACTGCAGAGTCCAGTGGTAACAATGCATTTTTTTTCTAGAAAAAGAAATATTGTTGTGACCAGAGTTTAAGAGAGAAAATCATACACATAGCAGCAGCTCATTTGTGGGCATCAACATGCACCCACTGACTTCGACACATTCAAACTGTAGCCTATGCAAACGTAACATCACAAATAGTGGGCTTTGTCACCAGTACATAAATACGTCTATAAATACTCTGAGCATTCAAATAATTTGCTGTTTTAAAGAAAGATATTGAACACAGCTGTGATTAAAGTAGCTGCTCACGTAGCATCTTGATATACTCACTGAACAGTTCTGAGTACAATACTTTTATAGAATAATATGAACACAGCAGCTCATTTTTAGCAGAACTGCATAGAGGGGAAAAAAGTATATGAAATTATATAAACAAAATATTTTTTGCATACAAGTGTACAACAGGTGGAAACACTGGCATATTTGCTATCACTTTGACTGCTTCCATGAGGAATTATAAAATGTTTTTTTCTTGGATTACATATGTAGTTTTACCTCTTGAATACAGACAACGATCAGGGAAATTGCATGGACAAGCAGCTCTGAAAGCAATGAAAACTTGCACAAAATGCATAAAAATTTCAACACATTACACCAGGTACATGGACTTTTGGGACATGAAAACTGCACATATGTAGAAGCATTCTGCAACAGACTCTAGCCAGAGGCATCCTTGAGTACATGATAGTGTGGCTAAGTAAGACTGGCATCAAAGCTGCCAAAGCGCTCAGAGGCGTATCGCTTTTTGCTGCTGCTTATGGAATAGTGGCTATGAGAGCGCCAGCTTGTTAACAAAGTCCTCCAAGTTCCTCATAAAGAACTTTTCGTCATCCAGGCTTGTCTTCGTCTTGCCAAAGGGAATGTGTGGGCAAGTTGTCTTCCTATCTGAAATACCAGGAGTTCAAGCATACGACACATATAACCATCAAACGCACTCTTTGGGGGCAATGCCTCCAGACTATTATGTCTGCAACAGAGTGGTGATTGTAAGAAAGGAATATTAAGTGCATTCTCTGTGTGGTTCTCGAGCATCTATTATTTAATGCTGAAACATGAGTTGCAACGTCACTTGAAATGTGCTCCTTGTGGTTCGAGAGTGAATCAAGTGGTACTATTCAAACATAAGAAAACGCGGTGGCTAGAGGAAATAAAAAGAATATTATGATGCACAGCAACACTTGGAAATTCGTTTCTCATGACTGCCACTTCTGTCGGGTCTTATGTTTGTACAAGTTGCTTCTAGCTTTCATCAAGCAAGCAAGAATTGATGGGAAAAAAAATTTAGGGCTTCCCGATTTCTGAACCAAACTATGTTACTGCAAATACTGCGACCATTGACTGCCATATATACCCCATGCAAGCAGCGACAAATACAGGTTTGCAAATAGTACTACTATATGGCACTGAAATATGTACTACATGTGGAAGCAGAGGGCATTTCAAAAGTGTGGGACCAGTGATAACAAAAATGTTGTACAGTGGAGAAATCACAGCCAGCATTTAACTTTTAAAAGTCACAAAACTCTATTATGACAGTGTGAGTAGTGCCGTTTAAGTACAATAAAAAGGCACTATGAACAAGGCTGTCATCAAGGGAGCCAAAACTTTTTTTTGTATTCTTTGTTATGGTTGGTGTCATTATTTTTATAATGTTACTTCCCGACCAGGCGGCCTTCCATCAAAACTTCATAAAAACATCAAAACTTCAATAAAAGTAAAAGAATTTAAGAAAGAAATGATGAGTTTGAAGGCATATATTTGTTACAGTGACTACATATATGTGGTTTGTGTTATTACATAATCTCACAGAAAACACATCCAGCATTTGGCACATGTGCAGTCCTGTGCTAAGCAATGTATAAAGGAAGAGCCATGACATGTTGAGGAAGGAGCTGCGCAGAAGCCAAAGCACTCACTAGTTAAGGTAAAAGACACAACTTGCAAAAGTAATGCAGCCAGGAGCGATATACAGCATCCCTTGCGCTGAACGTGATGAAGTTTGCGTGGACAAGATGGAAAATTTTGAGCGCAAAAATATACGATAGAAGGTCTGGGCTAGTTGGTGACTGCACTTGAACATTTTTGTCACAGCACAATGTGCCCATTTCTTTTCATCCACACCGTCGTTTCACTGTGTCGAAAATGTTCAAGTTCGAGCAGAGAGAGACACAACACTGTTGCGAATAGAAATGAAATAAAACACTGGGTCGAATAAATTAGCCGAATGTGAAAAAAACATTAAATATGTAATCAATTAGGACAATGCAAATATTATTACAAAGGAAGGGATTTTGCTTCACAACTTGATCTTGAATCAATTTTTATACAGGCAACCAAGCAGACCTTCAATTCCAATGCTGGAAACTTTCCACATATACATACACGGTGCCTGCATTACAGTTTGAAGGGTGAATAACCAGACTTCTCAATCATCTTCATAGTTAACAAGGTTGTTGCGTGGGAGCAGAAATGTATCTTTTTTTTATTCATGGTCATCATTCAATGTCGACCTCTTACGCAGCTTTGAATGTTAAAAAAGCCTTCAAAAGCTCCACAGTCCTTCTCTTACCTAATATATTTTATCCGTTGAATGATTATGTGTACTGTTAACAATAGCAGTGGGCAGCAAGAAAAAGTGCACATTCCTCATTTCTTAGTGATGTGGTGCATTTAAAATGCATGCACACCTGCCCACACATCTTCTGAGCAAAGAAAACTTATGGTTTTGTCCTCAATGACTTGAGCCAATCACATCACAGAAGTTATTGCTTTCGTGCACTGCAGAAGAATGCAAGCACAGCCTCTAATAATAAGTGCTATCATATCTTGCTTTGCACTGCTAATTTCCTGTCCCTTCTTTGGAAAGATTATTATTATTATTATTATTATTATTATTATTATTATTATTTGCACGAAAAAATGAGAACAAAAGCCAGCATAACACTTGAAATGCAGATGGCTATTGAGACACATTATAGCCTGTCTTTACTTTGCTGGCTGGAAGAAAAAAAATATTTTTTTCTCCATATGGCTGTCATACATTTTCCACATTTTTAAACACAGACTCTTGGGCTACGCCCATGTTCACATCAAACAATCATGGCCTAAGCATGCCTTTGCCTACCTTGAAAGAACATGCCACTTGAGTGCTTGAGAGCCGCCTGTGAGATGGCTAGCCACAAAATTGTGTCGGCTGCTTCTTCTACAGAACGGCACCGCACAGACACGTTTCTCAGCAGTTTTGGAACAGCGTCCTTCACCACTGTGTAGCAGCAATTCATTGTATTTGTCACAGGAGTATTCAGTGAATAACCAAATTGACTATTAAAGTAGTCACTATGAGTAGCAATCCATTTTGTTCCCAGAGAGCGAAGAAACTGGGAAAAGAACTTAAATTAAAGGATTTCGGTACTTAATCTTTCCACTCAGACTCTCAGACTTTCCACCTGAACTGTCGCTTAGTTATAGAAGAAATATATAGATAAGTAGAGACAGAGGCAAAGAAAGAATCCCAACCTGCCTGTAACTCTACTCACACTTGAACAGGCTTGTGCAAACTGTTGAATGAATATTACATTATTCGAATTCACCTCGAATTTAAATTAATGAAAATTTCGAAGTGTTCGAAGTGAACAAATAAATCTATATTAGTCCACATGTAACCACCTGGAAAGGTGGTTACAATGGAGAGATGCAATGGAGAGATGCTGAGCCGTGAAAACAAGTATCCAAATGTATACTAGTACACACGTAACCTTCTGTAAAACTAATTCCACTGTGGTGAAGGGGTGCTAAGCCATGAAAATGCCTATCCAGAAATAAATTGGCACTTCCCCAAAGCTTCACTTTAAAGTTAAATATATTAAGCTCACATCGATTCTAATTTTTTTAAGTTTAAAGTTTTAGCTTGTTATATGGGCTTGCATGCTCCAAGTATAGTAAATTTTAAAACGTAACATGTTTTAGAGATTATCACTTACATTGTGCTAAAAACAAAATCTTGCTATTATTCAAAGTTGTTTTCACTTCCTTTGAACCAAAACAATAGCATGTGCACAGGCCTTGTTTCACTTTCTAAAAAATATTGTGCAGATTAGTTAGGTCATGACAAATATGTCCATTTTTCCATATGTGATACGTATTATTTGAATTTGATTTGAAATTATTTGGTCAAAATCACTATTTGCTTCAAATTTACTTCGACCCTAAAATTCACTATTCGCACAAGCCTACACCTTAAGGATTTGGTAAATATTTGTGGCAGGAGGTTTGTGAGGCAACTCAGCCCAATAGTGAGGTCATTCTATGATTACTTAAGAGAGGTGTTTCAAGGCACTTTTAGTGGGATAATTTCCTAAATATTTTACATGTTATATCACTGAAAAAAAAGACAAGACACAAGACACGGACCCAAATATAATGCCAACTCGTACTTATGAGCATGCATGATCTGTATAAATCAACAAAAAGAAGGCTATTTATTGCCATTATGTTTTGCCAGTGAAGAGTGCTTTTCACTAACAACTTGCATTAAGGCTGTCCTTTTCTTTAAACAAAAAAAATGGCACTAATAAACTATCGACCATTTTCATACTTCTCTGGAGACACTAGATGACAGCTCTGATCTGGCACCTGTATTCCTTTACTAATGCTGCATCCTGTGGGAATTGAGGCTGGCCCGCTGCCTTTGCGCGGGCTTTCCCGCCTTTCTGCCATTCTCATGTCCCGACATGTCTGCTCTCCTTTGCTGTCTGCCGCGCTGGGAAGGGCGGAGTGACGTTTAACTCCCTCACCCGGTAGCGGATGTTGACTGTGGCGCCGCGCGGGGAGCCTCCCGAGAGGTTTTCGCGCGCTGCGTCGGGAGCGGGGAGTACAGTCCGGGACTTCAAACGGTGAGCCACGCATTCTTTTCCGTCCGTCGAGTCCCGTCGCTCGGGGCTCGTCGGACTTCGCTGACGGCGCCTCGCGCCCGATGCGAACGCTCACCTTTTGTTGCCCCGCTGCGTACTCACGGCCGAAGGGCAGTACGGTGTCCTAGTGCGTGGCCTAGCTACGCCGACCCGTCTCCCTTCGAAGCCAACGCGAGCGCCTTTGCCCTCGCTCGAGCAACCGGGCCCCCTTTGTCCCGGTGTCTCCGTGGATTACCTTTACCGCGGAGACGTGCTCGTGGCACCCTGTGTAGTACTTTGTGCCCGTGGCGTGGATAAGCCTACTTGCTTTCCCGCCGCGCCTTTTTGCAACGCCTTTTTGATGGATGCAGTGAGCGTCCGTGGCGCGTACTAGCTGAAAGATCCCCTTTGGGAAAACTCAGCCGTGCCCACATCGCAGACCTGAAGCCCTTTGTCATGGTCTGACGAGCTTGCGCCAGTGCCCAGCGGCACTTCGCGCAAGCAACGGGCACACCCGGAGCGGCGGACCGCATTCGGACCCCGCACCGGTATAATCTGAGGAAGCGGTCACCTTTGTGATTTCGCGCCGGACGGCGGACTTCTCCGCAACCGAAGGCCCTCAGTTTACTGTCTAGCCTCAGTATAGGTTAACTTCTTTACGGCCTTTTCTCGTAAAGGAGTTGACCCCGCCCTGTCTGCTTCCAGTGTTTCTTTTTTTTTAAGTGTTCATGTGTATTTTATGTTTATTTTTGTCTAATATTAAGTGTTATTTGTGTTTTATGTTTTTCGCCAGATGTTGAGTGTCGTTTTGCTCTGTTTTTACTTTTTTTTCCGTGTTCGTTTCGTTTACCGCGAAGGGAGCTGTGTGTGACCTTGAGTGTCGGTGCTTGCCGGGGGAGAGAGACGAAGGACGCTTTGCGCCTACGCTCGCGCAGCTGTCGGCGGTGTGTGTGCGTGTGTGGGTGCGTGACGCTTCGATGCGAGCCCGCGAAGAGTGCGTCATGGCTTCCCCCCATCGATGCGGACGCTGGAGGTGCTGGGGGGTCATTGACCCACTGACGTCAGACTATCTGGCTGTGCTCTGCTCTCGGCCGTTGTCGAAGAAGCCCCGCTGCCTTTACCACCATGGCTCCTGCGCGAGGCCAGCTGAAAGCAGCTATATGCTGCCGGCCAACGCCATTCGCAGCCAATTTGGGTCGGCCTCCCTGAGCACTGGAGAGGCCCGGCTTCGCGCAACGTTCCAGCTTCATCATCGAGCCAGAAATGCGGGGCCTCCGAAGCACAGCCGAGGCAGCGTTCGTCGGACTCGCTGCTTAACAAGACCAGCAACGAGCCATCAGTGAGCCCCCTTCCGGTACCTGTGACCTCGCACTCGGGCATCGCACCCAGCGGACACTGTCACGCCTTTCCGCCCCTCCGTGCAGTGGACGCTATCCCCCTTCAGCACCACGAACACTAGTGCCACGTTTCTGTGCTCCCTTCTGCAGTATTTGTACAGTGTCGTGTGTTTATTTTGTTATTTATGTTTTTGTTTCTCCTTTGTAATCATATTTCTTTTAAGCAGCAGTAGCAGGGCTGGACTGAGGTTAGCTACCGCTCATAGCAGTGTCATTTTAACTGCATGGGTGACGTCCGGCTGCCTTTTGCAGACCGGTAAAGGACAAGTTTAGGAGAGGGGGATGTGGGAATTGAGGCTGGCCCGCTGCCTTTGCGCGGGCTTTCCCGCCTTTCTGCCATTCTCATGTCCCGACATGTCTGCTCTCCTTTGCTGTCTGCCGCGCTGGGAAGGGCGGAGTGACGTTTAACTCCCTCACCCGGTAGCGGATGTTGACTGTGGCGCCGCGCGGGGAGCCTCCCGAGAGGTTTTCGCGCGCTGCGTCGGGAGCGGGGAGTACAGTCCGGGACTTCAAACGGTGAGCCACGCATTCTTTTCCGTCCGTCGAGTCCCGTCGCTCGGGGCTCGTCGGACTTCGCTGACGGCGCCTCGCGCCCGATGCGAACGCTCACCTTTTGTTGCCCCGCTGCGTACTCACGGCCGAAGGGCAGTACGGTGTCCTAGTGCGTGGCCTAGCTACGCCGACCCGTCTCCCTTCGAAGCCAACGCGAGCGCCTTTGCCCTCGCTCGAGCAACCGGGCCCCCTTTGTCCCGGTGTCTCCGTGGATTACCTTTACCGCGGAGACGTGCTCGTGGCACCCTGTGTAGTACTTTGTGCCCGTGGCGTGGATAAGCCTACTTGCTTTCCCGCCGCGCCTTTTTGCAACGGGCTGTACTGCGTTTGGTGTTGCCACAATAAAGTGTTGCGACTTGAGCAGTATCGTGTTTCCCGCCACGGCGACGGTTAACGCGTGCCCTGCGGCTCGCTAAGACCGGACCCACGCTGGTGGCCGTACTCCTTCGGGATACGTGTACACCACAATCCATATGAATATATAACATGCTTTTACACAAGCACGCTATGCAATGGAAGCACTTCATAAAGAGGTGCGAGCATCCCTGCAGTTTCCGTAAGTGATGCTATTTGTTCAGGTAACCCTCTCTCTGATAACAAAAAACTATTACATAAGCCACAGTGGTAGGGAGTAGAGCAAATTAGGTGTAATTATCTGGTCACTAGCTATAGTTTGATCAATTTCTCAGTATCAATGCAGATAATTTGCCTTAGCTCTTGCATTGGAAGACCGTAGATAAGATATGAACCAGCAAATTTTCTTATAAAGATATTTCGACAATTTTATTACATAGTGCTTCAAATAAGAAAGCATATATATAATAAATTATTTTTGTGATTATGAAGATGGGCCTGTAGTGGCTGTATTTGTTTTTAGTGGGTCAAGGTTTGTTCTCGTAGACTGGCCCTCAACAGGTTTGAAGAAAAATATATGACTGTAGTTTTTAAGAACACTAAATTAAATATACACATGGGGATTTAAATTATACATACATGGGAATTTTAGGCAGAAAAGAAAGAAAGAGAGAGAGGTCAAAAACTACTATACAAAAAAAAAATCTGCTAGGGTTGATTAAGTGCACACCTTTGGGTTCAAGCCAGCCAGGATGCATGGCTGAGAAGTGGATGCCTGGGAAAGACTCGGCATAGTGTTCCACCAACACAGCCTGGTGCCGCTTGGTCTGTGTGAAGGCTGTCAACCCATTGAAGGGGAACATGCACTCAAACTGAAGGTCCACAGGGTCCAGCCGCTGCATCAGTAGGGTACCACAGGTGACCAGCACCTGTACAGATTGTGCATTGCACAGACTGTGATGGCAATAAACAGGACTACATGTCAAGAACAAGAAGGGTTCCAAATCACAACACCTTAGCTATCAAATAACTAAACCACACTCATTATTATTTTCCTCTCTCTCTTTTTTTGCAGCTAAGTTATGCAATAGTAGCCTTTTTTGTTTTGTTTCTTAATGTTATGTTTCTCATACCATAGATTAGGCGACTTTTATTTGTGTTATTCGCTGCCCTTTAATTCAAATACTTGCCCTTTATGTTAGTTTTTACAAATGACCAATAAGTTCTTGAATGACTCCTGCCTAAAGCCTCCCACAAGAGGCCAGCAATATCCTTGTAATAAATTTCAGCTGTGCTGGCCTAGATTGAGGCTGCCCTAATACAATGTTTAAAGAATTTAAAAGTTGAAAGAGGACCCCAGGCACACTAGAATAAACAGTAAATTGACACTATAGTCGTGCATGCTAGTTAACAGTAAATTTTTAGTCTCTCTAACAAGTAAAACCAATATACCACTAGCATATATACAGTAGACTCTCGATAATTCAAACTCTGATAATTCATACTTTTGGTTTATTCAAATAAAATTCAATTTTTCGGTTGGCCCTTTATTCTTTCGATGTATTTAAAAGCATCTGAATTCAGACTCCATCATTCAGTTGATTCATACTTTTTGCAGTTCCATACCAGAAAATATCTGCTACTTTCCCACTACTAATTAAAAATTTGTGTGCTTATACAAGCTAACAGTCTAAAAATGAAAAATAAGCACCTCAGGCCTTCAAGAAAAAAGTATCTGCTATTAAACAAATGTTTGAAACGAAGCACACGCATGGTATACCATGATGCTTCTCAACTGTTATAGAGAGCTTTGCGCCAAAGGCATATACCTATAGCAAAGAAGCAGTTGGCAATTCACAATTTCTTTAAAAGGTGTGATCAGCACTAAATGGCCAATAAACTTGTAGATCTTACACCTCTGCTTTTTGTTCATTGCGTTCAGTTAGGGTATAAAAACACTTGAAAAAATTTTACATGTGATAAAATCAATGCCTAATCATAATGTGTGGTGTCACCTCACCCAGAGTCTTCTTTCCGAGAACTTCTGATTATTCAAATGAAACTAAGAGATCCCTTCGAGTTTGAATTAACGAGAGTCGACTGTATTAGCAATTTCATTTGTTTCTCAATGACTAAAGCGATAAAAAGTTTGAAAAATGCAGAGATTCTTAATTGTGTGAGCAGCTACGTGATTCTTAATTGTGTGAGCAGTTGCGACGGCGGCAGACAACTGCGGCACAGCGCGAGACAAGAGTTGTGATCTCATAACAGCTTTCGCTGTAAAAAAGTAGCAGGAAACTATGATGTCGATATTGTTTTTTCCGACCCTCAGATGCTGTCAAATGTACATTCCCTAGTGGACAGGATGCCAAAAAAAAGCCCAGAAACAAGTTCACTACATGCCGGTCTCGGATGGCTCATAAAACCCCACTCACCTGTGCACACAAATGCATTAGTGAAACAGGCCGATGGTTTAATGAATGGCATGAGAGCACAGGTTGAATGTGCATAAAAAATAAGGAGGGCGCCTGGGAGACCGTTGCCTCAAGAGAAGTGTGGCAGCTTGGGCTAGTTGGTATGACATGACAATAGTTATAGCGCGAAAACAGAACGACAACAAAGAGACAAGACGTGTTCTTCATGTCCTTCTTGTCTCTTTGTCGTCGTTCTGTTCTTGGGCTATAACTATCGTCACCTCAAGAGAAGTTGCAAACCAGATTTTCAAAGGAGCAGTTTTTTAAAGAACAGCAATCAAGACATTAAGACGAAAAATAATATAGGCGTTTTTCATGAACAAAGTTAGTGACAGCCGTGTTAGCAAACCATTCATCATTCTCTCGAAAAGCCATGTACGAGTTATAACTTTTTTAAGTCGACAGTGTTAGCTTTTGTGTAATGGCCTTCAAACTTCCATATAGCAGAGCATTTTTGCACATTTGTGCTTATTTTTTTTCGCTAGTTCGAAGTGGGTACATTTGTCATGTTTAACCTGCCTTCATTTTTACTAGTCATCTTAGTATCTTGTTTTTCTGTGCTTATTTGGGTAAAGCACAGTGCCGTGTTTTAACGACAAGATGCTAAATGTCTCACCAACTTGTTTACACAGAGAAATTTTCTGCTTTCGATGCGATCTAACAATATGCCATACACTTCTCTGTATTGGGCTATGTTGTCACTCTGGTTTCTGTTAGGGATAGTAGTCACAATTATTGCCGTAAGTGGCTACTTCCGAGCATGAGCCATCTTGTCAGTGGCGACAAGCGGCACTATATGAAAAGCACTTTTACTAAATAAAGCTTAGTTGGTAGTCTAGCACTAATACTATGTGTTCATTTCTCTTGTGTCCTCGACCTTCAAGCTTTTAACTTTGCAGACCACAATACAGCGATTTTCAGGTAAACTCACTCATTATTTTCTCCGGCGAAGAAGACGAGCTTTCTTAAAAAGAACACCGTTGGCAGTTTTAATGCCAAGGGTGCCAAGGGTGTCTCTGTGTCGTCGTTTTGTTCTCGCGCTATAACTATCGTCATGCCATACCAACTAGCCCAAGCTGCCACACTTCTAAGAGGCACTTAGCGTCTACTTCGCATAGCTTATTTTTTTTTGCTACCATCTGGACATATAACCATTTCCCTCAACCCTCTCATTAAAAATGGAAAACCTTATGAACATTTTCATTTCCTTTACTAGCCTGTTTCACATACCTATTATTGGATCAGGTGTAAGAAATGTGAAGACATGGCTTCATATTGCTAAAAAAGTAAGATTTTAATTCAATCTTTCTATCATTAAACCAAATTTTTTTTTGAAATGGCAGGTCTTTTTCGGCATTTGGAGTTAACTCCAAGCTTCACTCACAGCCCACATATAACTCTGCAATGTAAAACTAATACTGCTAATCCATGGCTAAGGATGGAGTAAGAAACAAAAAAAATATTGCCTGAACTCACCACACGTGGCTCACAGCTCCGGTTCAACATAGGAATCAGGTTGGTAATCAGGATGTGGACACCTGCAGAATAATAATCATGTGACAAGAATCAATGAGAAGTACTACATGGTTGCAGGAATGACGAGGACTGAGAAGATTAGATTTTACTAACTCAGCAAGCACAAAATGAATTAACACATGGCTAACTGCCAGGTAACACCTCATTTCAAATGTCACACCACATAAAGAAGTATGAGTAAGTATGCATTGGAAAGTGTAAAAATATCAAAGAGAAACAAATAATCCTAATGGCTTGTTTCAATGAGGAAACAGGAATATGCCCGTCATTCTAAAACTGCTCTTGCCAACACATGTGCACTTTTGGAGCAACTATAGCATGCACACGTGCAGTACATCATAACATATTCTAAAAGGCGCTGCCTCGCTTCATACACAACACCGCCCTAATATGGAATATATGCACCTAATGCACATATACCTAAAAATCCCAAGCAAGCGCAGCCTTCTCCTTTTTCGAAGATCAGAAATCTGCGCAAATATTCGAGTCTACCTGAAGCCTGCGGAAAGTTTTCGGTTGCACTTCATAGAACAAATGTTCATCTCGAATTGGTCTCCAGAGGATCTGAGAATGTAAGACATGTCAAAACCATGCTGGGAACCTAAAATAAATTCTGAAGAACCGTGACATGTATGCACAGCATGTACACATCGCATGAGCAAAAGGCAGAACGAATATCTTGCAAAGGGGATCTTAAAAGCAGCCCACTTCCAAGCTTACTATCTTTATAGCTTTATTCTTGCACTGCCCTGAGGCATGGTAATATTTATGTGCTCTTTTAGAGTGAAGATCGTGTTACTGAGACAGCACTTGCACATGTGCTTTCATGGTGGAAAGCATTCTTGTAATAAAATCAGATGCCAGTGAATGTCTTTTCTGCCCTGTTTACTTTTTTCCTATCAGTTTTTGCACCCCCTTCACAAGATGTTGAACCAACTAAGCTGTACAACTCAATATTTCAAAAATGATTGTACTCATTAGACAAATGTGTGTCTGCATTTACTTTTCACGTACATTAGACCTTCAGCACTCCATGTGAACCAGTCCTTTTTTTTTCTATCAAGTGAAATTTTTTTTTAATGCAACTTTGGCCTAATGGGCAGATAATTCGTATTCCTGTACCATGGGACTATGGTAGAAATCCTGCTGCTAGACAAATTTTGTTTGATAGAAGAGGCCCAAAACGAGGCATGACAGGAGCCAACCATGTACCTCAAAGGGCCCAAATTGAGAAAGAAAACAATATGCATTTAAACAAGCAAGAAAATAACACGCAGTGTTGTTATATGTCTCACATTTCTCACCTTCTAGAAAACGTGAAAAAGAAGCTCTTAGAATTACACAGAGAGAGAGAGAAAACAATGGATCAAAGGCAGACAGATCGATCAGGCTAATAGTCTGGTTTGAGGAGCATAAAACATAATTGGGAATTGGAAATATGGAGAAGTTGTCTGTTAGCTACGTATGAAAGCCGAATAGTTGTTTTAACACAATAGAAAAATACTATGCCCTTGAACCTTGTAAAAAAGCATATCAAATGAATGTCTTATATTGCCCCCCCCTCCCTTCTTGTTATTTGGCAATAGCCAAACACAGGGAAATCGGGAAATCGCGGGTTCGAATCCCGGCTGCGGCGGCTGCATTTCCGATGGAGGCGGAAATGTTGTAGGCCCGTGTGCTCAGATTTGGGTGCACGTTAAAAAACCCCAGGTGGTCAAAATTTCCGGAGCCCTCCACTACGGCGTCTCTCATAATCATATGGTGGTTTTGGGACGTTAAACCCCACAAATCAATCCACAGCGTGAGTATGATCATTCAGAGTGACAATACGTGCCCGAATGTTGGGGAACCACTGGGCAGTGAGAACCTGCACGTCGAGGTGTGGAAAAAGCAAAAATTGCGTAGAACTTCATGCCTTTATAAGCCACGAACCTCAACGCAGCCAGTGGGTTGACCTTGTACGCGCGGATGTACAGAGGGACTGGATGCCTAAGAGCCGCATTTGCTCGCTTCACTTTGCACCGAGCTGCTACAGGGTAAATCCTGCGTTGGCGAACGAGTTGGGTTTCACTGGCAGTAGGAGGCCCTTTTTCAAAGGTAGATGGGAAGAACGAGTTGGCACTACTTAACCTAGCTGGCGGAAAATGCATTGGGAGCGCTTTAGTCTACATCATCAGAGAGACAGCTGGACTGACTGCACGTGCGCTCCTAGCAGACGAAATGCCAGTGTGTGTGACGTCACCATTTTTTGTGAAAGCAGCATCAGCTGTGCAGGGTCCTCGACATGGCCTCGAGGTAGCGCTGACAGCACTACAATTTGGCAGGCTTTCGACCCATTTTGAACCACTTTCGATAGTGGATATATTAATAAATAGTACAGATATTCATTCGTACTTCACATGCAATTTAGGTCGCAAATTGCTACTAGAGGGTTGATAGCTACTCGTTGATGCAAAAATCTTGACATGAGTAAATTTGATGTCAGTGTTCCTTTAAATCTTATTTGCCACAATTGAAACGACAACAAAGAGCACTACTTGAGAACAGCCTGCAACTGCACTTGGCTTCGCTTAGAGCAGTTATAATTTGAAATTGACGTTTCACATTGAATGAATCATGCAGTTTGCGTAAGAGAGCTTTCTTTTGGTTCGAGATGGACACAAAAGGCAGTATGAGACGTGCGTGTGTAGAGATGCTGCTGTCATGATATGGTGACCCCCCAATAACTCGTTGATACAGGAACCTGCATATGTGCCTATGCGCTAGATAATTTACCCTGTAATGTGAATACATGGTCACCTTCCAAAATGAAAAATTTGGTGAAGCATTTAGACATTTACTTACATACTATATACTGAAATGCAAAGTTGAACAAAATCAACACTACAAACAAATCTCTTTCCAAATTAAGATGATGAACATTTGGTATAGCATACCATAGCCAACCTGAATTATTCTGGTTCTAAACACTCAGGCATATGTGTCCCACAAGATGGCATCAAAAAAAGAAAATCTCAAGCAATATATATATATATATATATATATATATATATATATATATATATATATATATATATATATATATATATATATATATATCCATCTTACGTGGCTACGAAAAAAGTAAATACTGTGCAGCGCTTTCCACCAATAATGTCTTTTTTCAAGTTTAGCAAACAAAAACAAAAGATGGCTCAGATAGCTGCTGTTCAGTGATACCTCAAGAGGAAAATATTGCTCTGATCAAAGAATTGATAAAACGTTTCAGCCAACAAAGCACCTTAAAATTTTGCTTCAGGTATGTATAAAATTATAGTGCTTCAAAAAAGTTCAGCAAAAAGAACAAACACGAAGAAAAAACACACCTGCATCAAGTACAAAACAAATGCCATAGTATATGCAATGCCGACTCTTTCTAAGACTGCCTAAAGGGCTGCTTTAAGCTCCCTCTGCAATTCAGCTTCGCAGTCCACCAAAGCCACCGAGTGACCAAACCTGGGCTCATATTAGCCATGCACAACTTCACTTCAGTTGAAATGATTAGAAACAGGTTCTGTTCTCCAAGGCCTGCTCCTTTATGCACTGAATTTTTACATGATATCACTTTCCATCCATCAGCAGCTTTTATTTTGGCAACCACTTGTGAATATCTTCAATTTAAGTGCACTTTTTTTTTTTCTGTCTACAATTTTCAAACATGTGCGACAACCCACAACACATCAGCATATGCCGACCTAAAGAATGAAGAGCAGCAAAAAAACAGAAATCTGCAGTTTCACGTATAAAAGAACAACCTAATAGCAAGTATTACAGCGACTAATTTTCACCACCTAGGGCTAAGCATAAGGATGTGATCATTACTGCATTGCACCCTGAAAGGAAAGCAGCCAAGAGGTGGATTAAAATGTAACAGTGAGCACTCAATCGTGCTCGTCTTCAGGATGTGTGCAATTTTTCACTACTAAAACCTAAAGTAAACATTACCTTGTCTGTCAATTTATACCCTAACATCTTGCCCAGAAGAAGTCCAGAACGACACAATGTATATTTTGATAACAGTGGTAACCGTTATTATTGCACTGAAGATTACAGTGCACAAACATAGGTTGCCAAAGGAGAAAATGGCAGCATTTGAATACTTACCAAGTGTGTTCGTGGCGAAGGTTTTTTCAAGCCCGTCCTCCCCGATTTCTCGGTTCTGTGTCATTGTCGAAGCGCAATTAACCTGTGTTGGGTTGTACAAGGTGAAGTAAGGGCGAAATTTAACAAACAGTACGCATTTATACACACCAATCGGCTAAGAAATTGCACATCACTGCTTTCTGCTCACTACTTTGCGTGACCACGACCTTATTTCTTCGTCAACCTCTAATTGCAGTGCAAAGCACGTAAACAACCTTGTCAAAAAGCATTACTGCCCGACTCAGATGGCAAATACTACAGGCAGCAAATAATCACGGTGCTGTATATTGGCGAGGATATTGAAATTAACCACTCTGAATAATGCTGCGTGAAGCAGATGGGTTAGAAATATATAGAACATGAAGGGATAATAAAGGAAAGCGTAAAGTCACGCTAGATTGTCGAATTATATTTTTGAAATACCAGAAACACCGGTCTTAACATTAGGTAGAATGAATATTCATAAACCACAAAAAAATGTTGTAGTTCTCACACTTGGCCTTCATAAGATTCAGATAGCGTTTACTCAGGATTAGTTATTATTTAATTGGAAAACAAGAGTTACAGCGAAATCAAAGAAGCCAGAGACTCAACTAAAAAAGGTAAAATTAATATTTTTATTTACAAAAAAAAAGCCCAGACTTGCAAATATAGCTAGAAATAAATGACATCATATTGATGAAGGCACTGCACTAATGTTTTAAAATTTAAAAACTGAGATTTAGCCCTTCGTTTAATCTGCTTCATATTTTTCTGCCAGTAAACTTAAAATTTGAAGTTTGTTATCACATAAACACACAAAAATATCTTAGTACATAACTGATCAAGTAAAAACTGTCAGGGGGATTTCACAACATCAATAAAAATTACAAAATCTATTAGGTGTGTTCTAGCTCTCACTTCAATTTTATGCTTATCATTTCCATTAAACACTGCCGCACCAAATCTGAGCATGACATTTGATGTTGTTCATGAAATATTGGAAGATCCCTGTAGGAAACATTTAATTAGAACCCTGTTTTCAGAATTCGCTCTGCAAGTGTGGCGTACATAGCTGCAATCAAGACAAGAGAAATGAGAAGTTTGAGTCTGCTTGTAGTTGGCTGTCAAAGTAGCTTAAGTGCAAGTAGTGCTGCGTCACTCTTTTTATATAATTTATTTCAACTCAGTGCTGATAAATCTACATTTTCTGAGTTATTCATAGGAGTCTGAGATTAGGTTGAGCGGAATTTGTCTAATCATGTTAAGGCAAACAAAAGTGAAGCTTTCATACTGGAAGGTCATAATGAGGTTTATTTTTTTTTTAAATTCTCTATTTAAGAGTGCCTGATGAGCATGCAAATAGTGCTCATAACGAGTCTCTTGTCATGAAATGATGAGAGTTTCTTGCCAGCAAAACTTTTAAATGCATAACATTATGTGACTGAAATTATGAGCAAAATATTAAATTTTCGCTCTACTAAACTAAGGAGACTACTTATTCATTCTGTAAAGAGGATTACTAATTCATCTTGTGAATAAGCCTTAAGGTAACTTTCCATTTCTAAAGCTGTGCAGTCTCTCGTTTGATCGGTTGATGATTATGTTCATGCTTTAATGCAAGATGTTTCAACAGAAATTGAAGTTACACACACATGTACACTTGCTTCTTGCTACGTTTATATTGAGTAAAACATTAACTGGAATGACACAATGCTGTTGCTAAATAAAATGACAAGCAATGCATATTTCTTACCAATACATGCAAGATTCCATATTTTAAATTAAATTTCTTGGCAAAATTGAGGACATCCTGGGGACGAGACATATCCAAGATGTGCACAACAGCAGATTCCTGCAAAAATAATATGGTAATGCCTTATCAATACTTCAGAACAGTCTACAATGCATGCTAAATATTTTCTGCCAGCAAATGCATACCCCATTTTCCGTTATGTCAGCGATTGTTGTCTTCAAAGCTTCTGCCTTCTCTTCATCTTTGCAGACAAGGTGCACTGTGCCACCTGTTTGAAAAAGAAACAGTTTAGTCACATGCATATATGCCAAATTTAATAGGCAACGATAGCGTCGTATAACAGTTGGCATTTGCTACAATGTCGTATGTTCTCATGGTACCTGCACTAAAAGTTTTTAGAGGAGAGTGAATATAACTTGGACAGATGGTATTACCAAAATGAACCTCTACATACACTTTTGATAGAGAACACTCTAATGCCAAAAAAGGAAAGTGGTCTGCTAGAGGACCTGCTACTCTGCCTAGGAGAGAAAGGCAGGAGGGCAGTGAAAGATGATACAGGGAGTTTGAATGATGATGCTGATGTACAGTGAGCTATGCACTTTTATACAAATTTTGTGCGTGCACCTCATATGCGAGTCACAATGTGTAGGTGTTAGTTCTAAAGCCTCAACATGAAGTCATTCTCCATTACAAACGACAAAAGCATTCTTATTGTTGGCTGAGCACATTGACAGCGGTGTTCTATGATACTGGTATCTGCTCCAAAAGGGGTATCTTCCTCGAAGCGTATAATGGGGCCATATGTTTTATGTAATAACTGGTCCAGTCAGAGAGGATATTAAACCATTTCTGGGGCATTACATCTGTGACATTCAGGATCATGAACTTATGAAGCTAATGACATGTGATATGGCACCCCGAGTCTTGAGCTGCATAGTAAAGTTGTGTGTAATCTCTTTTGTTGGGGTAGAATTCTTACTGTCAAGTCTGGTTCCATAGTGAAATGGCTATCTTGGTAAAAGTTATGATCAGCCCAGTGCAAATTGCAGACTGTCCAAATTGCAAAGGAGAGCCATGACATAACGTGTCTGGAGAAAGCCACAGTTGTCAAGTCTGGATCAGCATGCACAGGCATGGCTTCTGTATATCTTCTGACTGATTGTATAAAGTTCCACAATGACTGGGTATCTATTGGAGCATTGTCACGAGACCCGTATCATACAATTTTTTATACACAATAGCTATGTCTGCAACTGGGTCATAGTTTATTTGGTTCTCGCCTCTCTTTAGTGGACTTCTAGGAAAGTTGACTTAGTATCTGAAAATATTGTCCAACGCGCCATGGTATGTTAATGTAGATTATATGGCATCATAGCTAGCTGTTGATTCCGCTGATGTTTAGGATAATTTGTGAGAACCCTTGAGGCGGCACCGGTTAACAATTCGTAGGCATCACGACTGCCGCTGGCACAGTAAGGTGTGTGATGAAGAAGCTGCCATCACAGCACATTTCGTTAATGTAGGTCAATGTTTAGTCAAAGCAGCTGTGTTTGACAGAACGTGCACAGCTGACACAATGACGTTCGCTTCAGCATGTTTGTTTTGTAAGTAAACAGCGAATGAAATAGGCAAAAAAAAAAACTTGTCTTACCTCTCTGTGCAAGTTGGATAGCAACAACCCTTCCAAGCGTGCCCGTGGCGCCGGTAATCATGAAAACTTTACCGGTACAATCGACGTCTAAGTCGGGGAGGTTGAAAGATCGGCAGGCAGCTCGAAACCCGCTCCTGAAAATTAGAAGCGAAAGCACACAGACGATGGCTTCATTCGACGCGGCGAATGATTTTCATGCAAATAACAGTGTCCAGAGAGAGACTTGAGTAAGCTATACGTGGTAACGGTACAATAAGTTACGCGGGCACATCCAAAATGCGCGACTGTTAAGCCCAACCGCAACCCAATGCGCCGTACAAGCGCTGTCCGTAAAACATGTTTTGATAAAATATTGTACTCTATAAGGCGGCGTTTCTACGAAAAGGTCAGGGGAGCAGCGAAGTACGTAGCGCATGTGTTGTCACAGCAGTCTGCCCACGCAGCTTTCTTACCTGCTGTACTCTTTCATGCCCTTCGCAAACCAGAATACGTTTCTGTAGAAAGACGTCATAGTTTACTGCAATTAACTTGCGATTAAGATACGTCAATGCTGAACAACGAGAGCAGAAACGCAGCAAACTACGCTTGTCTCGCGAGATGCATATCTTCGAACCACCGTCCGTCCAACAGCAGACGGCTTTGAGCCAGGCTCATGGTAGCCAGATTAATATAGGAAACCGCTACGTGACCAAAACGTCTCTGGGATGAGGGCACGTGACCATCGAAGCGAATGCAAACAGCGTGATGTACCTGCGTTGGAGTCGCATATCCCGCATTTCTTCGAGAATGTCACGTTCGGCAGCCTTATACGGTGAGCCTACCGCGTGGTAATGTAATAGGAATAGAATGCAGTCGTCATGCCGAGAGACGCGTGCCGGCCGCATCATACAAGAAGCTGTGTACGGTTAATTAAGACATATTGCTTTTCAGATTGGAGTTAAAGCACCACTAACAGTTCAGTTTTTGATGGTTTTCTGAGCGTCATGCCCCAGAACGGAATAATATGAAAAGCACGGAAGTGACAGCACGAAAATTACTGCCGTGTCTACTGGCGCGAAACTGGTTCCGCGTTTGCGATGACAGTTTATATATATAAATATAAATATAAATATATATATATATATATATATATATATATATATATATATATATATATATATATATATATATATATATATATATATATATATATATATATATATATATATATTTATATATATATATATAAGGTATATTCAATTCTTGTAATTTGTTACCAAATGAGACACTCAAGCCTAGTAAGCCTTGTAGGTGCACTACGCAGATATATTTTAAAGGTTATAGACTTTCTTTTCTCATTCGTTTATTTATTTTTCTTAATTCTCGTAATATCACAACTGTGTCGACGTATTCTTGCAGTTTATATTTACCTTTCCCTACCCCTTTCTTTCTTATGTATAGTGGTACAACGGTACTGGTAGACTTGAGTTACAATGAATTCTTGCCTGCAGGATAGCCGATTTACTCTGACGTGGCCGTGCTCCTACCCCCATATTTTGTGCAGTATCTACAGCGTATACTAGTGGTCAGCATGAGGATACTGTAATGGTCAAAATTTCTGGAGCCCTCCACCACGTACGGCGTCTCTCATAACCATATCGTTGTTTTGGGGTGTTAAACCTCATTACCTAATTGTTAGGGTTTAACGCCCGAAAACCACCATAAATCATTATGAGAGGCGCCGTAGTAGAGGGCTCCGTAAATTTCGGCCGCCTGGGGTTCCTGCACTAGGCGGAGTAAGGTTCCCTTCAGGTTCCGGTAAAGTTGTGCACGCGAAACATCTCGCGTTTCTAACTGCGCACCAACCGAAGGCTGGTAGTCTTTGTTGCGTTGTGATCCCATACCACAAACGTGAATTAACGCGAAGTAATTAATGTCAGCATTGAAATTCCACCGACTCGTATCAGAATAACAGGCAACCGACAGGCATGAATACGCTTACTGTATTTTACTGTGATTACTTCACTTCTGCTTATTCCCTTCACAAGCATATGCATTGGCATGGTGGGGGTCTCGTGATTTTGTGCACAGTACAACGTAAGTAAACTCGTGTTGCATGCGCTGGCCGTTTTCGTCGAGCTCACGAGTTCTGAGAAATTGATCATGGTGCACTCCGCTCTGATCAATACCGGAGTTCATTCCTTCATCACTAGAGAACCGATCACTCGAGATTTTGTCTGATACGAGGCTGCTCATGTTCGCGCCGGCGGAAGTGCTGCAAACATGAATGCACGCAGTATAGTTAGAACAGTGTATACATGGCATTTCTATGCTGCGCGGTAAAATATTCTGCGAGTTCTGAATCTGTTGGCATAAGGGGGAATGATGGCTGCACGCTTGCAAATAACGAAGATACCTTAATTGCCGCAGTGTATCGTTTTTTTTTTTTTGGGGGGGGGGGGGGAGCAGAGCGACGAAAGCTAAGAAAAAAAATGAGATCGAAAATTACGCGCTTTTGCGCGTATTTAATTGTTTTATCACATATACGGAGCGAAGAAGCTATTTCTGTGTGAGTAGGTATAGTCTGGTCCCGGGTGCATTTTCGATTGAGCCCAAGTGAATATTTCTTAGCAATGATTTTCTTGCCCTCGCAGATTGCACAATAAAACCTCTACGATTGGAGTGCTTCATTGCTATCAATTAAAAGTCACAGTACCACTGTAATGTCAACCAAGGTTGCGAGAAAGTCTGCCCGAAAAATGACGCATGCGAAATCGTGTTGCCAACTAGTAGCATAATTTACGAAAAATATTACTTGTTGCATATTGCAAGCATGTTTGGATGCGCGCAGTGAAGTAAAGAAATATGGACTAAAAACTATCACAGTTACAAGGTTTGCTTGACATATGGAGCTTAACATAAATATCGCTCTCATAAGCATACAGTCAAAAACATCGACAGTAAGAAATTCGCTCAGCAAAGTAGGCAAACCTGAAATATAATTATGAATGTACAAAAACATGCTGCGTATACTTCTCATTCCACGTTGTAAGCGCAGCCCTCCTTGTACTTCGCCCCGACGAGTACTATGCCATCAACGCTTAAAAGAGATAAAAAATTTAGCAATGTCTTCTTCGATTGGGCGGGTGGTCGCAATGATGCATTTTCGAACATCACTCCATTCGATAGTACGACGAAAGGCTATTGCTCCAAACGGCCCCTGTACCTGTCGTTTACTGCATTTTACTGTGATTACTGCACTTTTACTTATTCCCTTCACAAGCATATGCATTGGCAGGGGGGGGGGGGGGGTCTCGTGACTTTGATGTACAGGTACACAATCTACTCAAACTACTGCCGATAGGCCGATAGTCACGTCACAGAGAAAAACTGATACCTATTCCTCCCCCTCCCCCCCCCCCAAAAGAAAAAAATTTCCGGCTACGCCCCTGATTGTGGGTGGGGGTTCAGCAGCTTGAATATCTCGTTTGCTTCTTTCTTTTCAAGGATTTGACCTTCCATTGCCTTTCTGCACGGACATTCAACATACAGAATCATCGTTTTAACCGACAATGAGGCATGCGGGCATTGCTATAAGTGGGTTATTTCACCACAGAAGACATACAAACGTTGACGTTGCAGCAGCTTCTCGTTGTTATAAGCGATATGTTGTTATTCGTTAAAACCGTTGTCGTTATAAGCTGTTTTGATCGACTGTATCTATGAACGCCCTGAACGAGCATGGAGACAAGTCTTACTGCCGTACGAGCATACTTCTCGGAACGCGTGGAAATGTTCTTCTGCGCTGCGTGGGCCAAAACAATCCTTATTAGGTGATGCATATTTTACACGGGTACGCGACTACTTATTCACGTAGTGGTACAGAAAAAGTGATTGGCCGTGAGCCGGCTTCCGTAATTGAAATGCGTATTGGGTGTCCGCATTCCATGGTAGAATGCGGACACCTGAGCCGTTTAGACGCTTGAGCTCAGATGGAGCGTGGTCGCGTTGAAGTCCTATCGACACGTACGCGTCAAAACGTATTAGCGTGTGACGTTCCCTCTCCCTCCGTTGGGAGAAGATGTGCATGGAGAGAGAGCAAGCCACGCGATGTTCTCCTCCCCCACCACTCGGAGCATCGAGTAACCCTAGCCGGACTTAGTCACTAACTTGTAGGTGCACCAGTAAACATACACAGCAATAAAAAAAAGTTATACTGTGGCAGTTCGAGGACTTCGCGATTAATTCATTAATCAGAACATTCAGAGAAAGTCTGGGGTAGCGTGAATTAGGTTCCATTTCAGTTCATTAGCGACGAAAATTTTATCAAAACCAAAAAATAAGAGCGCATACCATATCAACTTCATTTTGCCCCGTGACGTTTTGAGCTCATTGCAAAGTGTTCAAAGTGTTCATGTTCAGGAAATCGACTAATCAGCACATTTGAACCACAATAGCTGTATTCTCAACACACGACACAGCACTTCGTACACATACTAAGTTGAACATTCTTCAGACTATATGTAAGAAAAAAATCGTTGTCACTCGCAGCACTTTGGCAGCCGTTTCACTGTAAGGTAGTAACAGGGGCAGCCGCGCAGCACATTCAAGAGACGTATTTGACCAGCCTTGACCATGGCTGCCAACGCTTCAACGAACTGGGACCTGAAGACCATTTGCAGCGAATAATTAGAGTTCCCGGTCGTATCGTTAGCAGCGACCGTAGTGTTGTAAAGCCGCTTTAAGGCTTTTACATGGGCGGGGGTAAATGCCAAGACTATCTTGATAGTAACTGATTGATTGATATGTGGGGTTTAAAGTCCCAAAACCACCCTATGATTATGAGAGACGCCGTAGTGAAGGGCTCAAAAAATTTCAACCACCTCGGGTTCTTTAACGTGCACACAAATGTGAGCACACGGGTATCTTGATAGTATACTGTAATATGTTTGAAGTTACAGGCCAGACAAAATCGCGTTCCTGATCGGGTGGGGAGGAGAGAACAGCCCGGTGACAGAGTGGGCAGGGGGCTGCGTCTGCTGCCTCGTTTCCCTCCAACTCCTGATGAGGAGGAAACCATATAACTTATGAGGTAATGGTGCATGGGACCCACGTCCTGTATGCAGTTTTCTAGATGCCAAAGGCCAAGAATGGGGTCCAGCCTTGTACTATGTTCCGACAGGCTTCTCGAGAGTATGTGATAATGTATATTGAGCCTGAATGTGAGGTCGCGAGAACAATGGCGACTCCTTCCACGTGTGTTGTATTGCAGGCTCTAAAGGTGAGCCCATTTACTGTTTTGCTGTTGTAAACTACCGTGGTGGTTCGCTGTGGTGAGGGCCGGAGGCATCCACATAGTATACACCTGGTTTATTGTCATAATGTCGGCTCCGGGCTTCCGGCGCCCGCACTAGGCGCCGGTCATTATGCGCTTCGTATGACATGTTGTCTGGAAAATGTCGTATACGGTGAGAGCGCGTCTCCACAGTTCTGAAATGCGAACCCTGTCGTCCATGGGAATGTTGTGTTGAATATGCATGGAGTCGAGCAAGAAGGCGGCGACCTGAATTCGTTTGTGACAACCTTGTGTGTGCTTCCCGAAGCTCCCGGAGAGTGTTCGTCACTCCAAGGGCCATAAGCCGGCTGTTGGATCTGAC